AAGACCTCCAACATCGAGCAGCTCCGACAACGTCGCTACGGTCTAGGACATCATCTTCACCGCAGTCGCCAAGGCGCGGGTTGATGGTATGGACCGGACGTACCTGGAATGGAAAGACCAATATTTTCTTCGTGGACCCCGGACTGAAGGTGAGCGCTGGCGGTTACATCGAGCAACTCGAGAAGAATATCCTCCCCACATGTCGTCGCCCCTACCTTCTTGGAAACTTTGTACTGCTACAGCATTGGGTGCCACCACGTGGAATCGAAGGGCGTTGGAGAAACTCTCGCCTACTTGGAATGGAAGGGGGCTGAGTACCTAAAGAAGATGGAATATCCAAGTAGGTCACCTGACCTGAATCCCCTCAATTACCCGGTTCGGGCGGAGTTCAATAGGGTGGTCTACGGTGGCGGAGAAATCGACTATCTCGCTGAACTCAGGTACCCACTCACGGTCGCGTGGCAGAATCTCTCGATGGCGCTCCTCCAGAAGGCTGTGGCGGAGTGTCATAATAGTATTTAATATGCTCTTTAATATGGTGGTAGAAATGTCCGATCAGAATTTATAAAGTGTAACTTATAGCGCCTCGAAAGTCAATGAAGAAAAGTGACTTTTTTTGCCCCCCCCCTGTAGATTCAGTGACGCCTCATTTTCTCTGGGCTTCGCCTCCAGGGCCCGACTTTCAGTGGAAAACGAAGTTGTAGGGCGAAAAAGCATGAAGCACGAAAAAGAAGAAGAAAAAGCACGAAAAAGCATGATCTCTTGTACGGTCGTAGAATTTTTGAGGGGAAATCAATGGTGTGGATGAGGGCGTAGTGTTAGAGAGAGAATTGGCACGTACGAAGTGGGATCGAAATGGGGTTCTATCTAAGCAACTGACACATTCTTGTTCTGTTCTTTTTGCCTCACTATCTAGTTACTCAGAGCCTTGCCATCCTTATGCAAACTCCTAAGGCAGCGTTCATACTTCGCGACAGCAGCGGCGATCGCGGCGATCGCGGCGACCTCGGCGATCGCGATCGTCGGTACATGGCAGAGCGCGCCCCAACGCTATTACTTGCTCCGAAGGCTTTTGGGAAGAAGCGACTCAATTTCATGCTTTTTTCCTTTAACTGCAATTTTCTTAGGTACTGAAGCTTGGTTTGACACAAAGAAAGGTGAACCCAACTTAATGGCTTTTGTTTTCTATTTTCTTTCTTGATTCAGGATAGAAATGAGCAAAAAGCGTGAGAGCTTCATTTAGGGTAGGTTTTTATTGTTTCTTTTTTCATTCGTCGAGCTTATACATGAGGTTATAAAGTTTTCACCTGTTGATGTTGCGTAAAATGATTAGTGTTTTGGTTCCTAGGTGAGTTTCTTTCTGTTTCTTTTTTTTTCTTCGTTGTTTGAACTCGACTTGTAAACTATAAATGTTTTGGAAGTTGGAACAGTTCAGACGATAGGAGCTTTAAGTTTAAAGTAAAAAGACTTTAAAGTAAAAATAAAGTGAAACAATAAAAACAAAAGAAACAAAAAGAAGCTCACCCAGGAAATGGAGTTGGCCTTATCCCGACCTAAAAAGAAGTGAAACCTCCTTACCTCATATTCCAGATCCGCTTATGTATAGAAAGTCGTAAGTTATCAGTTAGTAGCCATTATTAAGAGAAAAGAAGGTCACAAGTTGGATTCCCTTATTTATCAAGCGAGCGGTCCATAATAGCGTTGGGGCGCGCTCTGCCACGTACCGACGATCGCGGCGATCGCCGCTGCTGTCGCGAAGTATGAACGCTGCCTAATCCACTATATAGAGCGCTTTGCCTCTAAGGGATTTTAAATCATCATTCATGTGTAGACTGGCTCCTATAAACTAATAGTAAACCAGTACATTTTCCCTATCAAGTCCAAAAGTAAAGGGCCAGTTACGTATTAAATGGTCCTGAAGGTGTGTAAAATTGGGGAGGGGCTTCTCGTTGCTTTAGTTCATGCAGCTTCAGCGCCATTGTGTAGTTTATCCCCTCTACGTCACTATGGGGACATTTGTTTTGTTGTTATAACATTCAAGTTGTTTTGTACTGTCCGGTATTACATTTTCTGGCAGATCAGGGCATCGAAGTGGAAGAGGTTTCAGAGGAACTTCTTGCAAAACCCGAACCATCGACGGTACGCTGCACGTTGTAGAGGTTCATACAGGGACCACAAGCGTGTGGTTCATTTTCGCCACACCTATGGGAAGGTAAGAAAAATGCGTGCACTACTTTTGAGGTCTCACGTATAAAAGCGAAAATAGTTTCCATCTGAGAGAAACGAGTATCTCCTCAAATACGTGAATGCCTAAGCATACTAGACTGTGAGTCATCTCTGATCATCTCAACTTTTTTTGAACTGACGGCTTGAGGGAGTCTCAGAGCCGCCTCTCACATTGGTTCATCTGAGCCAGTCAACGATTGGTGCAAAATACTTCTCTGCTGCGCTTTCTCTGCCGCTGCTTCACATGCCCTTTAGTTTGCAGGGCTATATTGCTTGATATGTAATCATACAGGGGGGAGGGCAAAAAAGTCAATCGACCGGGAGCACATATCAGCAAAGTTTTCGCTGCCCAGACAGAGGACGTGGACACGAGTACCAGGGCTGAAGATACCCAAGATGTTCCTCAATAAGCAGGAGCTGGCTCTCGCCCATCACCTTCAGACATCACGCTAAAATATAAGTCACTCCCAGTCGCAGCTTGCCGGAGAATACCATTTGGATTCATCTGGTCACCGTTCCAACATGCGAAACTTCCTAGTAGGAGTCAGCCCATGGATAACTACCTGAGAGGCAGGTACTTGTCTCGATCAGCAGGGCTTCCCCCTCCCCACTACACCCTTGCCCCCCTCCCCTGCGGAAGCATTTAACTATGTACAATCATGATCCTTGCAAAAGATAGGGCGTGTGGCTTGAAGCGCTAGGGCAGAGTTTTCCCCAATTGTTGCGATCTCACGCGGCGAAAATTCCCTTGGCTGCGCTCCAATCCGCGTCGCGTCACACGCCCTATCGCTTACCGGGATCGTGACTGTACATGCTGAGGCTTGCCTTGCCTTTTGAAGCCTGAACAACCTACATGCTACCTATTTCCCCCACCCCCTTCAGCACTTTCTGTATCGCGCGAGTACCCCGAGGAAGGCTACTACTGGAGGATGACCGGGGTGGGTTAGGATGGGTTGAGCACTCATTTTTTTCACTTCAACTCGCGATTTATCAAGTACCGCTTCGAGAGTACTATGGATCAAAATGTTCGAAAGCAAGCAAAGTTTTATAACTGCTGAATCATGATCAAAAAGTTTTTGGGGTCCATTTGGATATTGAGATTCAAGTCGTAATTGCTGTATTTTATATGGTCCCTCTATGTAGCCTAAATATCGGTGAGAAGTCGTGCCTCACTCTAGAAGGGGAAACAAAAAGCCAGTATTTTGCTGTTGTGTTCATTATATAAGAGAGAGTGTAGATACGCCTTACTTTCACTGAATTTCTATTTATCTTCGTTGCACCGGGATTCTGTGATAAATTTCTTTGCTCCTTTACTCGATACGCCATCTACTTTAAGGTTTCGTACATTTTTTTACGACTTATTTCCAGATATGTGGATGTTAGTGTGTTTTTTCCTACCAGCGATATTATTCTGCATATGTGCACTGATTGCTTGGCTGCGAGTATTGCATGTGAACAGGAGGTGCGTCTGTTACTCTACTTCGTTGTCACATTCCGTGGATTTTTAAAGGAAGCGGGCGCAATGGCTGGGCGAGGGCAGTTGTTGTCAACGTCATTGGTAGAAGGGCTAGGTGGGTGTGTAGTCGAACGCCTTCGCCCTTCCACCACTGAGACTAGCACCAACAGTCCGCCTCCAGCGGTCGTGCCCACTTTAAACTCGAACTTCACGAAATAGATGGTTGCCACTTTTCGCGGCTCAAAGTTGTGTGTCGGCCATCTGGCGTTGGCCCGCGTCACTGACGCTCACCTTGTTTGTCCTAGTTCTTCATCCTTAGTCTATGCTCGCACCCTCTAAACAATGTCATTCCGCTTCTTGCTTCTTCGTACTTCGTGCTTGTCCAATCGTAAAATCAACTTTCATGATATGAGGGGCCTTGTTTGGAGCGCTTCTGACGGTTTCTTCTTCTTCAAATCACTGTGCACTTGCAGCTTCATAGCACTACAAGGCCAACGCATAATTTGCAATCGCTAAGCGTGGCATTGGCGAATTATTCAAACTGTTATGGAGAAAAAAGGTCATATCGCTGCTTCTGTAGATTAACCGGTCAACAATCCCAGTTTTGAGTGGGTCAGTGTCGTAGTTTACACTCATGTAGAGTCATAATCCCTGAAGAACGTAGCAGTGGATTGGAGCGCTGCCAAGGTGGCTTTCTTACCAACAATACCATCCTGAGTAGGCAACTATTGGCGAGAAAGTCTGTTTTAGGTGCGCTCCCTGTCATTTGCAAGGATCATGACTGTACATGCAGTTGATATCAGTCGTGTCGCAACAACGGTCCTAAACCGCGGCTTTTCCACCACTGGTTGCTTTCTTCCCAAATCGATCTTTACCCGATCACTACTGGTAGAGCAAGGCAGCCAGGGGCGGGTCATCCCGCCCTACCGAGGCCGTTCCCGACTGATTGCAATGTTACAAACTATAGGGGCAGTTCGGCATTCGGCGACGGGGGGGGGGGCATTTTGCTTTCCATCGATGTGTCGACCCATCTAGATAGCCTTTTCTCGAGTTGACACGTTTTACCATGGTGGCTAGACGAGCTTGCTCCAGCTTCACAAGAGTTCACAAGTTTCACCAGAGTGAGACTTGTAAACCGGAAGTAGTGAAGCAGTGAAAGTGCAAAATGCCCCATCCCCTTCCGTCGCCGAACTGCGGCCGAACTGTATGCGCGTTCAACTTTTGCAGAAGGAACGCACGAGAATGAAATAAAAAGCACTTACATATAAATTTTGCAGAACACTAGATTTCCTGTAACTACATTTAATGCAAGTCAGTTATGACTCTGCACCTATTTATGAACTGTTAGTGATACAAAAGTCGAGTTCTAGTGTAAATCACTACACTTTGATG